TTTTTGCAAAATATTTATCTCAGTCTTCTCAATTTGAACAGCCAAAAAAAGATTTTTCGCATTTTTCGTAAAAATCCACCTACCATGATACCTTAATAGTATATCATTTTGACTTAATCATGGTATTCTCCTCCACTCCCCGTGGAGCATAGGATGAGGTCCATTGAAGCCACCAGAAATATATAATTTTAACAAGCCAAAACGTTTAGAACATAACTTGACACACATCGCTTACTTACAAAAAAAGAATTATTTTTTTACATACTTGTAAAGAAGTGTACTCCCTCCTTGGTACAACTTGTTGATAGTAACTGCACTAGCTTCTTCAAGCAGCTCTTTCACTCTTGGTAAATCACCAACCGTACAAAAGCGATAAAGTTCTGGGAAAATGCAAAACAAAAAACAAAACAAAAAACAAAAAAAACAAGACAATAAAATACACTTTTGGTCAAGAACGGATGTCCATTTGGCAACACCTGAGTCAGAAAGAAGCCACTTTTATGAAAAACAGATTGAAACAGCTTGTTAAGTCTGTTCGGGGGTAATATGGGTCTTATGTTCTTTTTTGCAAGTTTAAGGATCTTGCCTTTGTCTTTGAATGTAAACTTGGAAAAAAGGGAAGTCACATCCCCCAGTATGGTGCCGAATAGCTGTACACACCTTGAGATACTTCTTCTTCCCTCGTAGCTCTTCTGATACCTACAAAATATCAGGGAACCTGTTAGCTGTTAGGTATTACACACACAATATCAATGCTTTGTATTCAGAAGCCTAACAGTGCTAATAATGGTGCTAAATACATTTGACACTTAAATAAAGTTATTATTATTATTATTATTATTATTATTATTATTATTATTATTATTATACTGCTTATCATAAACACTTCAAGCATTGACTAGACGATTGGAAAACTGTTAAATGGAATGCATAAACTGCTCATCACAGACTTGAAAAGAAACACCTACAAAGGTATTACCAATAATTTACAAGTATATTGCAATTCATACACTCTCATAATCACATATTAGCATATTACAGTACATTCCACCAGGTTTTAAGTGTTTTGAGGGTGTGATTCAAAATTTATTTTTCCTTCTGAAGGGTACTAGCCCAATTTTGCCTTGCTCACCTGTTTACTTAAACTGACCACTGGTGTCAGGAAGCCGAAGGGCTATGTGGCAAGTGCACTTCCCAGACAAATAAATAAATATCACTGAAGACTTTGTGGGGCCCAACCAGCCTTTAGCCTCAAATAGGCTAAAAGGAATATCAGTAGTACAAATAAAATGTAAACTAACAATGAACATTTGAGTTTGAACATCCTACAACTAAGTAGCATGGTACCAAATGGTGTGTGCATAAAATCTGTTTAATTCACAACAAAGGAATTTGACCTTACTGGCAGACTTTTGACTCATGTTTAAATTGACAAGACTTTGAACTATCTTTCAAAGAATGATCAAAAAGGAGAGAGAACATCTCGGATTCAAAACATGGAGGGAGGCAGAGGTTGCAGCAAACTTTGAGGAGATGGATTGAGAGCCTCAACCTCCATGAGAAGAGAAGGGAAAGATGATGATAATGAACTATCTTTCACTGATGATCTGCAAAACATTAAGAGATCATAAATAGCAACATACCTTCGACAGTCTTTAGGTAATCCCCACATTCATATTCATGCGCTTCATATGCTACCTCCATGGCTGTCTTGCCTTCCTTGTTCTTGATATCTATACTTGCACCCGCATCAACGAGGACTTTGAGACAACGGCGGTGACCATTACGAGCAGCATGATGAAGGGCAGTCTGTCAATCAAACAAAAACTAAACCTTTTAATAAGTGTTATCTAAGAGTAGCCATATGATATTTATAAACTTCAGAATGTACCTATAGCTATATGTATGGCACAGTTTTCAACTGAGTGTCATAAAACCAAAACCAAAGTAATCACTCTAGCCAGTCAGAGGACACAGACAATACAGTGAATCAATCAAAACTTGAGGTAATTACATGTAGCCGATGCAAAGTGCCGGAAAATGAGTGCCAGTGAGTCAAGATTGGTTTAGATTTTTTTCTGACTGGATGAAAAAGGGGCACAAGGTTTTTAACCCAGTCATGTGGCTTAGCTGATGCAAAACCAATTCCTTTTTGATGCTCAAATGGAAACTGTCAATCACATTGAGACAAAGTGAGATAATTAGGTAAAAAACAAAACAAAACAAGGTTTGTCCCTAAACCTACAGAGCAGTTGTCCTCTTGAGAAGATTGCAAGTCTGCATCGCCTGTTGAAAATGAACAAAGTTCATGAAATGTCAGAAATTTTTCCATTATCAATTACAAAATTATAACTACAGAATAATACCCTATTAAATTATATTTTAGCATTTTTAGGTGATATGTTATAATTAGCAGACAGTCATTTTTAATTATTTAATTTTATTAATTAATTTATTTTCAATTTATTGGGTGTGTGTATAAAAGTCTACTGTAACCAAATTCACAATCACCCAATCAAAAGCCTTGTCTACCATCCTGATATCCTGCAGTATCAACTCACTGTCCTTATATTATTGGCTAATTTATCATGGTCAAAGTGCTGAATTTGAGAAGGGTAAAATACCTAATTATACCTTTCTTGGCAGCATATCAGGCTCATTTGGTCTTGCTATAGGTGCCATATTGTCTAATATGCTGCTGTTAAGCATACTAAAAACGTATTCATGATTAAGTGTAAATAATATTCAGCAGGAAGGATGATCACAAACATTTTCACATAAGACTTGCAAAGTTGAGAAATAGTTAAGAATCATGCCAATAATACTATTGTAAACATGTAAAATGGTAACACCAGAGTACCTTTCCAATCCAACAACTCTTTCAAACAATCCACACTGTCATGAAGTGCAGCAGTGTGTAGGGGTGTTAACCCACGAGGATCTGGACTATTAGCCTCTCCGTGGACCCCTGCTTGAAGGAGAGACTTCAGGAGGTCACGTTGATCATAGATTGCTGCCTGATGTAACAGCTCCCCTTGAAAAACAAATACTAGAGCAGCCATTTAAAGGAAGTGCAACACTTGATCTCTACAAAGAATGGATGAAGTTAGTGTTAGTAATTACCCCCTCTACGCCCTGCCACTGGAGATCCAAAGACAATAAGTCCCACAGAGCTCATGTTTGGGACTCAAGCAGGGACAGAGGGTCACAAGAGGGAAAGAAACATTCAGGGCAAGAGTTGGGGAAGGAGGGATGAGCAGAAAGCAAAGCAGCTGAAAAAAGTGTGATGACAAACAAAGGTGAGCGATGAGGTGAGAAGCATAAATGGAAGGAAAGTGAAAAGGTTAATTGCTGAGTTCCAGAGAGGATTTCTGCCAATTTTAACTTGTCGCAGACTATAACATTTGTCCATTATGTTCCTGATCAAGGTGGTATTTGTTGGTCTATGTGAAGGGAGGCTGAACAAATGAAATTTAAAACCAAGACACAATAAAATCAATGACCGCCTGCTGAAAGAAAAAGTTAAAGGTCGCCAGTTTGCAGAAAGGCAAAATACTGCTAATTACATGTCAATGTTAAGTTCTTTCAGTCTAACTATCCTATTGTCTCAGGAAGCTGCAAAAAACACTGCTTTACTGGCCATATTGTTACTGATCCATTAACATAAATTTACCATCAGATGGTCTTTTAAGCTAATTTTATATGATCACTTAGAAATACAACACACAATCATGGATGTGGCATGTCAAAAGCAAACAGTGAATAATTTTTCCCCCCGATGAAAGTGAAGAATGATCATCGCAGTAATTTTTTTTTAAGCAATTGGAAAGAAGAAGCTTGAAAAAAATCAGGGCTTCAACGGGATTTGAACCCGTGACCTCCACGATACCGGTGCGATGTTCTACCAACTGAGCTATGAAGCCGCACATTGGGAGCGAGGTCAATTAATTGAGTTCATATCTTCCCGTGAGGAGTGAAATGATGTGAAGTATATATGAAATCATTCATATTTGAATTATCACATCATTTCACTCCTCACGGGAAGATATGAACTCAATTAATTGACCTCGCTCCCAATGTGCGGCTTCAGAGCTCAGTTGGTAGAGCATCGCACCGCACCGCTATCGCGGAGGTCACGGGTTCAAATCCCATTGAAGCCCTGATTTTTTTCAGGCTTCTTCTTTCCATTTGCTTAATTGGAAAATTTACTGTGATGATCAATCTTCACTTTCATCTACAACCGCAGTTCAAATATGAATTATTTCATATATACTTCACAATTTATCCCCCCATTAACCTTCTTTAAAATGCCATATTCATGGCATCATACTTCTTTTATAGCCTGACATAGCCAAAACATATGTAAATTATGCAAGAGATGCATAGTCGACAACTATTGTCACTCATGAGTACACAGAAAACACCCTTCTCCACTCATGAGCAAAGTTTATCCATACTGATCACTATATTTGATTAAAAATTTATCAGATTCCATTATGTATTAATTAAGATTGTATGCAATTAATTGAGGTTTTTCTAGAACTGATTACCATGACATACTTTACATACAATAAAACCATTCTTGCTTAAGAATAGAAATTCAGGGTTAAAAGTGTATGTGAACTAAGTCAAGGGATTTTCTTTTTTGCTTCTCCAGTACCTGAGAAACATCAGTACCACAGATTATTTATTTTGCAATTTTATTTTTCGTCAATAAAATATTTATAAAACCCGGCCTGATGAAAATACCGTGGTCATATGCAAAACAAGCTTATGATAAAAACAAGGACAAAACGAAATTCAGTTCACTATTTGAGCATCCTTTCCAATTTGAACAAATATATTTTCATAATGGCATACTTTTTGGCATTTTTATGACCGTTTACATAGAGATATAGACATGAAAAATGAATTAAGCCTTATTCTATATTATCCAGCATCGATTACTAGAACTTATAACTTTTGGAAATATAAGCAGTATTGGAAATATAAGCTCATGTAACTGTTCGACATCGCTCAATTCCTCTACAAATCAGGTGTTGAGAAATTGTCATCCCAGGGAATAACCTGGGGATAACAAATGAAACAAAGCCCTCTGATTAAGAGATCAAAAATCTTTCGATATGAATTTAAGGCTTAAAGAAAGTCGAAAAACGAAATAATCCCATTATTTGCATCGTGCAGCAGTCCGACTTTTTATTTTAGAATCGCAGTCGTGTTCGTCATTCAAATTACTTTGATAGTGCTACACACTGTCTTCAACAGTTCGCCAGTACAATTGGTTGAAAATAAAATTTCCATTATACGGTCGTTCGAGCCTCATCTTGATTAGAAATTTCTCCTTGTTGAATGGGTTGAAATATTATGTATTAAAACGATCGAGTGTTATGTTTGTTTACGTATACACCTCGTGCGGACTGAAGATCGAGATGCCTATATCGGTATTTTGGCGACGGCTATAGTAAGGCATATAATTTTAGAATGCTAATGCATTGTCAAGAACACTGCTTTCCCAGATTATCGTGGAAGAAGCAAAATAAGTCTACTCACCTCTTATTTCAATAGGTGGGGAAATTAGACGTTAACAATCCACCGGGAAGTGAAATTTGCCTCGTTGACGGCATTTTTACGTCTTCGGTTATCTTTTTGGCGTCGGAGAATTATTCCACTATACAACAATATTACCAATGTCACTCGTGCGTGTTTCTGGGAGGCATTCTAGAGTCAAAATCAGCCCACTCGAACTGACAGAGAGCTTTCTTCGAAAAGACGGACATCAGCTAAATGTGAGCGAAGGTTGGGGATAGGAGAGCAAATTTCAACTTGGTAGGGGAGGCTGGTGTAGCGAGGCTCGCAATGCGAAAGCTCACGAGAAACTGAAATACTGTAACCTTTTTTCTAATACATGTATTCAAAACTTGGAAAAAAATATCCTACACTGACGCGAAAGAAACTAACATAAATGAAAATGCCCGATTTATTGTCAAATCTCACATCTTCCGGCTAGCCCACCGGGAGGACTTCAACAAAAAAGGAGCTAAAAATAGTCGGAAGCACAAAGACTACATATACGGCGAAGTTGAATCAACCGCTATTCTAATTTGGACTGGATTTTTTTTCCACCGTGGTGTATCGACAATCATAAAACGTTTTTATGAAAAATATTCCGGTTCGATCACTGAAACATTCTGACTAGTTTCTGCCATTTGAGTCTGACTTCCGGTCTGTAAGAGGCCTCGCTTGCGCTGTGAGTCTTGTTCAAATATTCGGAAATTATGGAAGACGAACTCTCTCGCTGGATTCAGGAAACTGTATTTGCTTCTTACGTGGAAGAATGTCAAATTTTTAACAGATTGGATAGCTCTTATGGCTATGATTACGATTTTTCCCAGGAATTTTCTGGCAACGATTTGTCGGCGAGGAAAAGGAAGCTCGCGTCGTGTGAAGATGTCGACACGGTTTCGGCGGGAAAACAAGCGAGGAACAGTTAAATCATGAAAGTCCTTTGCTAAGGCATTGTGGTTTCTTCAAACGATGAAGATTAGGAAATGCGTTCTAAAAGGAGTTTGCAGTTTGGAAACGAAGGAAAAGTAAAGCTTGGGAACCCAGGTCAGAGTTGTGGATACCTCTTTTCAGAAATTTGACCTGACAATTCAACTGGGACCATTCCTTCTTCGTGAACGCGATTCTTTCTGAGATATTTTCTCCTGTGTAGACTGCAATGTGGCGCTTGAAATTTGTGCTCCAATTGTTTAATTTTGGTGGGAAATTACAAGAAGCAGCGGACCAAAAAAACTTAATGCCCCCGGCAGGCCGGAGGAATGGCAGCCATATTGCCAAGGCAACGCTCAAGCGACGTGCAAAGGTTCACGAAGAGTAAAACAATGTCAATAAGGCAGACGAGATATTCGTTTGTTTTTCGATCAACTCCAACGTTATCCTGCGCCTTGGAGAAAAGCACTTTGTTGTCTTTTAAATCGGTTTCGTGTTCGTATTTCAGCCCAGTCTTCTACTTACTCAATATTCTGGTTTAGAGGAAAAATGGAGTTTTAAGCTTATATTATTGTTAGTAAATTTTTAAATTGATTAAGTTGCAATGACTTGAAGGAAACAAGTTGAATGGGTGGATTTTCAACACTCATAAACAAGTCTTTTTAGATATTAAACTCAGGAGATAAAATATGGGAGGATCAATGATCAGCACCGTTAACTGCTGCTTATAAGGTCCCCCCTGCTTATCAGCCCCCCCCCCCCCGGTTATAGGCCCATCTACCCGTAGATCAAAAAATACATCCGGTTACCCTCCAAATATAAGCCCACCTCTAGCTTTCCTTGTTCTGAATTTGTTTTATTACGATGTTTTAAAGCTTATTACCGGCAAATGAAAAACACAGGGACTGGTAAAATATGTTCACTATAACGAAGTTTTGTTATTTCGGGGTACTTTTCCATATATTTAACTATTACTGGAGCAAAGTATACCATTTGTTATACTGAGGACTTCGTTAAATAGAGGTTCATTAAACTGAGGTTCCACTGTATTCAGATCAATATGTGCAGCTGTAACTCGTTTTGAAACAGTTTTTTATTCTGGTTATAAGCCCCCTTAGAAATAAGCCCCTCCATTTATAAGCCCATCTAAAACCCTTACAAAGTTGTATAACCTCAGGGCTTGTAAGCAGCAGTTTATGGTATAATTTCTTTTTTCAGTCAGAAATTTGAAAGCCAGATAATTCAAGCCATCTCTCTTCAGAGTAATCTCTCACTCTGCAAGTAACTAAAGCAATACGAGACAGCTGAAATATATAATTGTCTTCATAAACTCTTCTTAATAATTCCAAAATGAACTTGCGAGCATGTGCTTGGAAAGCCTGCATAGCAGCAAGAGAGGAAGAAGGCTAAGACAGGTTAGTCCCTCATACAGGCCTTATTCCTAAGGTAATTCCTCTTGAGCTGTCTTTAGATCACTCCTGGCTTCAGACATCCCTAGAGGGTCTAGAACTACACAATGCTGTGATGCGAAATTTATTTATGTGGAGAGCCCAAGCAGCTTTTCATGCAATGTTCTCCACGAAAACAGTGTGATCTGCGCAGCGGAGGTGCTAACATCCTTGGGGAGGACTGAATACCACATGTGAAAATAACTTGGGGGGGATTACCTTAAGAATACAGAAGTGTAGCAGCTCTCGTAAGATTGTAATTCTTTTGCTTGTTAGCAGCTGTTGTTTTGGGGCTAGGGATAATATTTCTGTTGTTTGTTTCATTGTCCTCTCAAAAAGGTATCAAGCCATTAATGCAGGACCTTACGAGAGCTGCTAAGAGAAACCTATAAGGAGTATGAACTCTCTCACCCTTCATCCTCTTGTGGTAGCAGCCATTCAGATTTAACAGATGAAGAGACAGGAAGTTGAATTGGAGTGCAAAGCTTGGGGGCAGGGTGCAAAGAGCAATCATGAAGGGGACAGGAACACCTGCAGGGATGCTATTGCTTTCTTTATCATTTACATGCTCTACATGTATGTAAAAATCCTGAGTTGTCAGAAATATTTAAAAACTAATTTAAAATTTACCGTCCTGATTGGTCAGTTTTATGGCGTACAAGTCAGGGGTTTCACAAATGTTTAACACAGGAGGCAAATAATCTTCACAGGTGGACAAAACTTTTTGAACTGAACTTCTTGATAAGAAAAACTTTCGTCCAGATGATAAACCAGGCAGGCAAAATCATCGTCACAGCCGGTCAATTTGCCTGGTGACTGGCCCTTAATGAAAGCCCTAACAAGTAGTTGTGCAATGTAATAATTATGTAATGCACTTTATGCTCTACCCTCGCCCTTCTTGCTTCAATAATTGGTCTTCCCCCATCTCTCTCTCTTTTGAAAAACTGCCACACATATTAGAGCTTGGAGTGGCCCTGCACAAAAAGAGTGGGGCTGTTAGTTCTATTCGTATCCAAGGACTGCTTGTTTTGAACATGAGGAAATGGAAGTAGGAATGAGTCAGTTTGTACAAACGTCAAAAGTCTCCACACTAGGCTGATTAATTTGTGTTACACCCTACTAGGGATACTTCCTACTCCCTACCATTTTAGTATACATTATCACATGCTTACTGGAGAGAACATAATGATGACGATGATGATGATGATGATGATGATGGTAAAACTTTATTGATGTGCAGATAATGTGTAGCCAGGTTTTTAGCCAGAATTTGAAAAGTGGGCATCCAAAATGTGCTTAGGGCCTGCTTAAATGAACAATTTATAAGGCAGCATATGAAAAATAAAATGATTTTCTTTAATAAGTGGCTGTCCACAGGATGCCGATCTAGCTAACAGCTTGTGTGTAGCTGAGGGGAATAGTCCTACTAATTTTTGTGGACATCTAAAAGCTGGCCAGAAAGACAAGTCTTCCATTCAAGTTTTAACACTAAGATGTTTGAATAAATTTGACAGCCTCCAAATTTAACTGTTTCTCTACACATGACCCAAATATTGACCCAAATATTCAAATGTGGCAAAGCATAACAAAACAACTGCCTTGGTCAGAGAAGCGTTATTTTAATCAGGAACACTCACTAATGTACAAATGCAACTTATCAACCATATAACTTTCCTAGCCATTGCAATTTTCAGACGGTGATTTTATTTTTGCATTTGTCCTAGTGGTGATTTTTATTTACAGTACATAACACACTTAAATGGCAAACACCACACATTTATATTGCCTGGATTCTAATCAAATCACCTTGACAATGGTGGCAGTTTTCCACGTTCTTCTGAGTTTGAAACAGTAAATTTATAATATTCATATAAGTTTAAATTGCAGTGCCTCTTTCCAAGTTTTGCTTGATTTCAGAAGTGAATGGGTCATAAAACCTTGCTAGTTTCTTGTTGAACTTCATATTGCGTTCATTAATGTAATCAATGTCTGCTTCATCTTGGTGAGCTCGGCGACGGCTGTACTTCTCACGCTTTTCAATTCTGGAATGTAAAAATTCCAAATAAGTAACATGGAACTACCAGTGAGCTGGTTCTTTTGCCACACAGCACAGTCTGCCTGATGAGGACAGACTGGGAATGAGATAAATGCGCAAAAGAGGGTTTGGTTGTTTGAAAGATCGATTATTTTTGCCAGTCATTGATATTTCACACAATGAGTAGGCACTGCTGAGAACATGAAAACAAATTACACGGCAGTGGTGACAATAGTCTCTAAGACAAAGATTGAAGATGTCTAGTGTCATCTAATGGTTAGCTTAGTTTGTAGAATGCAAGACTGCTGAGGGTTTGAGCCCAAGACTGGACCAACACTCGGGGCTCTTAAAATAACTGAGGAGAATGTCCAACCTTTGTACATAATTAAATCTGCATATGGTTAGACACTCGAGTCTTCACAGACAAGGACTATAAACCATAGGCCCTGTCCAAGGCATCTTCAGTGTTATCTCAAAGTGTTGTGGTCTGGCCTTGTCTCACAGGTTGGTGTTTCACATAGGGTTAACCTCATTGCACCTTTCATCCATGGACAGAAAAATTTCTCCAAGAAAAATTGCTATGTCTATGTCTAGGTCTACATCTATAATTGCTGGCACTAAGCTGTAGTAAGTTTCATCCCCACACAGAACCCAGATCAAGCCTGAAACTGGCCCTCTTGGTCTCAAACAGACGGTGCATCTTCCACTTTCAAGATGATTGTCTCTAATGTGTCAAGATCTGTTAAACTGTACTTACTGCTTTTCTAGGTCAGCAACCATCCTGTCTACTGCAGCCTCCGGTACTTTTCCCTCTCCTCCATAATTAACATCATCAACACTGGGGTACATTCCCTCCCCTCTGCAACAAATTGCACAGTGTTCATTAAAATATTTTTTCAGATGTCAGAGCAACAAATTGTAAATGTAACAGCATGACCACTAGAATAATTATGAAACAGCAGTGAGAAATTGTAACTCCACAAACCATCAAAATGAAAGTATTTTTAATTAACTATTGTCGTTTACATAAATATAAAAAAAAACCTTGTTGTATCAAATACTGAGTACTGTATGATCAAATAAAGCATTTGAGGCTACTTGAGTCTAGTTCCCAACATTGGCAGAAACATTTCTACAACCTTGACACTTACTTTTGTTCCTTTTCTCTCTTGTAATCTTCATTATTTGGTTTCATCTGTTTGGTAAGGCGTTGGTATTGTCTATATTGAGCAGCAGCAAAGCCTATAACATTTTACAAGAAGAACTAACAATATTAGAACACATAGAATTTTCAGTAGTTACCTCTCTGTGAATACCAGCTACACTGAAATTTTTGAATGGAAGCTTATGGGGCTGGAAACAGAAATGAAGGAAGGCATCATGTACCCAGATCTAGACTCTGTACTAAGATTACCTTATAATTAACAACTGCATCTGAGACTCCATAATATTTATTGAAAATTACAACTAATTGATTACATTGTACCTTCAATAAATTAATAATAGTATGAATGGCACAATATCCTACACATAAATAGCTATACTGTACCAGAGAAGCCTTGATCAGGATTTTTCTTCTTTCTCTTCCTATCCAGTCTATCAGCATCATCAGCAGACATCTCTAACAACTTAACTCTGTCATAATCCTCTCCACGAGATTCAGCTTCCTAACACGAATCAGAAGGAGGAAGACAAGCACAGTCAAGTCAATGTGAAGTCTGTTTTGGGTATACCGCCATGGTTTATCCCAGTTTCTGTAGCATTAAGAGACTAGAAAAATTTCTACTCCCCCCTGGATTGGATCCTAATCCATTACAGCAGTAAATTCAACAGTGGGAGACACAGTGGCCTCATGGTTTGTGTGCTCAACTCCAGATCAAGAAGTCCATGCTCGAGTACTGGCCAGGGTCATCCTGTTGTTTTCTTGGGCAAGACACTTTACTTTCACAGTGCCTCTCTCCACCCAGGTATACAAATGGGTACCAGCAAATTTAATGCTGGGAGTGATTTTGCAACCCCGTGCCCCCCAGGTACTTCCAGAAAAGTTGGGTGGGGCTGTGTGGCCCACTTCCCAAAACCCTTACCCTATTTATGACCAAAATCTGCATTTTTTGCTACCCTATTTATGACCATTGCAACTGACACAGTTGCCCTAAACATAAGTTATGAAGAGCTTTTGTTAACTGCCTTATTGATAACAATGAAAAAGTAGCTTCTTCTAAGAAACATACCCAATTCAAGACTAGAGTGCTAAAACCATACTCAAGTCATAACCAAAATGGCCAAAATCAATACAACCCTATTTATGACCAAAACGGCTGAAATATGCTACCTTTTGGGTCCGCACATACTTATATAGCCCATATACAGGAGTAGCCCCCCCCCCCCCCCCCCCCCCTCCCCAGGCTCTGCAATGGAATAGCATCCCATCAAGGAGGGAGTAGAAATAGTCCTAGTTGCTTCATGCTACAGAAACTGGGATGAGCTCCCACCTAATGGGCCACTTGGTTCATATGTAGACTTTACCTTATTAAATTCAACAGTAACCATTTACACAGCTGGGCTTAGAGAGGCAGTACAAGAGTAAAGTGTCTTACCCAAGATCATAACATACTGACCCCTGCCAGGGCTCAAAACTGCACTGCTTAGGGACATATACAATGTAAATCAAGGATTCTGGTTTCACTTAGTTTTAAGCTACCAAAGTATCTTTTAGGGTGCACTCGAAGAAATAATAATAATAAACACTCTTATTTTGGTTTTTAGGCTCAATTTACGCCAGTCTTTCAAGTCCGGACGTCTGGCACAGGCTCCTTTCCTGAACTGCAGCTGGTAATTGAACCTCTTCCATTTTAAGTGGTATCTTTCAGAGGTCAAATTAAACTTGTGCCATGCCCAGATTGGTCTCCTCTAGGGGTTGAATTCAAATTTTCATGCAGTTAAATGCAATTTAATGGAGTTAACAACAACGAGCGCCTGTGTTCCTGTAGTTGTCAGTGGTGTTTTAATATCTGCATGCACCATGATTCCATGTGCTCCTGAACTAAAACATGTTGGCAGCCTTCACAGCGATAGCGTTTACAGTGAGCATTGTTTTGCATGGGAGCACATCTTCAAGCATTCCCACCCTCCCTTCCCTCCTTGGCTTGGTTTCCAGGATTTGCCTGCCATGGGACCGGGCTCCATCTAAGAGCTGGCTGCCAATAGTGGAAGCTCCTGGATTTCTCAGGCACCCAACCTCCATTTAGCAATGCAGCTGTTAACAACGAGTAACGCCAACCTTTTCATATGAGAGTTACCCCCAGACACAATCCTGCAGGATGGACCAAGTGTACATGAAGGTATTGGGCTGATGCCTTTCAAATCATATTTTGTTTAAACCGTATTAAAAATTAATTACATTGCAAAGCAATGATATTACACATCTAACAAAACCTATTAGTGACTAGTTTCAAAAATCACAAGTCTGACCCTTAAAATGTAAACAAAATCAGTACAACTACGTCTTCAGATTCCAGTGGAACCCTACCTCACAGCTAACCAGTTACATGTAATATCGTCCCTTCATTATTACGTTAACTTTTTTCTGCCCTCACAAAAGCCCAGTGATTCATTTTCTTATTTAAATAACCCTGTCAATATGGCCAACCCATAAATGATCCATAAATACAGCTAGATGTTTGTGGTATGTCATCAATGATTTCCAGCACAGTTCCTCTACCTTCCTAGCCTCTTCTTCCTTGTTTTCCCATTCTACTCGACGTTGCATAGCCTCCCAATTTGCAGGCAGCTTCTTTCTTCTATCCTCCTCTGCAACTTCTTGATGATTCAATTTACGTGCCTCATTCTGGAATACCAAAATTAAATTTCACAGGATTGTAAATGAGAAAAGATATTGCAATATTTGCAGTTACGACATAAAAATGACCATCATACCCTTCTAAGATGAAGATCTCGCAATCTTTTCATTCTTTCTGCTCGTTTATCAGCGACCGAAGATGATGAAGAAGATGATGATGGGCCGGCTTCTGTATCATCGTCTTCTACGACAGAAGTACTGGCCTGGCCGTTCATCGCAGCTGATTCCGAGCTCTTACGTTAAAAAAGGAGAAAACAAACTGTGTGTTATTCAATCTACGTTCTTGGAAGAAAAGGTCAGCGGCCAAAAGATACAGTTGAATGAAACGGAAAATGGAAAATTTGTATACCAACTTACATGATCAACTTGTGACGCCATGTTTCTTGTTCACTGAAGGAAACTTGAGCCCACAAGTAAATCAAAACAGTGGAATTCTCATCTTTCAATACTTTGTCATGTACGAGGTCACGTAAAGCTCCAACCTCGTTCCCAGGAGTTAATCTTTGCACTTTTACAATGGCGGCCAGTTCGGGATACAATAATACAGATGTTGTAATTGTTGCTGCAGGAAGAACGCCAATCGGAAATTTGAACGGCTGTCTTAGCTCACTCAAAGCACATGAACTTGGTGCCATAGTCATTCGAGATGTTTTGTCGCGCGGCAAGACTCCAGCGTCTGACGTGGCGGAAGTCATCATGGGACAAGTTTGCACTGCAGGTACGCATATGACAAACACTCGTTTGAATCCTTTCTGTTGTTCCAAAAGAGCTTCGATTGCGTTGGTGAAAGCAATTACAAGTGCTTTCCTTCAGAATTTTGGGATTGACTTAGACAAAGTCACGTGGCCGCATTCTGTGCTTGTCACGCCCCCTCCCCACCCTCTGTCCCCCGGGGGGACTCCCAAATAAAAAGGACGGGGGTGTTCGTCAGAAATGTTGAAAAGAACCCCTGAAAGAGGGGGGTGTTGGGATTTTCAGTTTTGCGGATTTGGCCAATTTTTGGTTCAGTTTTTCGGTTTTCGCACTTAGATTCTGCGGTTTTTCGGTTTTGGTGTCTTGTGCAGTTTGCAGGTTTTCTCCAATTTAGTCTTTGGTTTTCGTTTTTTGTCAACAATGAGGGCGGTTTTTTGGATTTTTCTGCCTAATTCCTTTTTTACAGTTTTTCTGGTTTTGCCAAGGAAGTTACACCTCACAGTCACACTAAAACTTTAATTGTCAACGGTCTGTAATTCCAAAGAACCACTTACAGTTAGAGGAATGCATGACAAACTTAATTAGTCTCTTTAGCTGCCATTGTGCCAACACAAATGAAAATTCCGACAATGGCAATCGAAAAGTAGTTTCAGAATGTGGTGTTTCTTTCAAACAAAAATCACCTAAAATCATACGGAAGCCGGTAAGGGTCACACATCATACTGTGGAACCGATTTACACAAAAAAGGAGATTTTTGGACTACGATGTGTTCTGCTGTAATGAAGGAATACACAGAAAGAACTTCGGAAAGTAAAATGAGCTTAGATGTATAACAATTAAATGACAGAAAGAGAGATTCTGAAGACTCAGTAACAAAGCTTTGCTAGTGAGGTCTTTTATTTTGGTTTTCGGGTTTGGACGAAATTTCTTGCGGTTTTATGGTTTTCGGCGAGTTTTTGCACGGTTGTTAGGTTTCTAATAGGCCCCTACGCCTCCCTCCTGAACAGTACCAAGATCCTGTTTTGTGGCTTGAAATGTGCTTGGAATCCTGTTTTGTGGCTTTTCACCCCTAATAGGTACTATAGGTGCTAGGCTGAATACCTTAAGAGGTAGCAAAACCACTTTTTTAACCCCTAAAAGGTACAACAAGCACCCCCGTCTTTTTTATATGGGAGTCCCCCCCCCTCCCCCGAGCCTCTGCCCAGAGAATTTGCCATTTTAAATTTCTAAAACAGGTGAGTTGTTCATATCTGATCAAACAATCAATATTTTGTGTGGATTAAACCCTACAGAAGGATACTTGTACGTCCAAAATAAATATAATACATGTAGGAACAGAGCAACTGAAAAATGTCTGATTCTGAATGCCAAATTGAAAAATGGAGCATTTTGTTAGTGAAATTAAGCTTTGAATTTCCTAGTTAGGTAGTGCATTTTTTTGTGGTCATGTTGAGTATATATAATTATGTTATTTGCCAGCTGGGAGGTCCATATAGTGGTAAACTGTAACCGAGGTCTTGAAAAAATGCTGCCTGAGACGTCGGGCAGCATTTTCAAGCCCGAGGACCGACCCTAAGCCAGCAAATAACATGTTTATTTTTTTTCCTGCAGTAAATTGGTTTTACAGATTACAAATGGGTTTGTTTACGCAACTTTGTCATTGAATCGACTTCCGTGCCGTCTACTAACGATTTGTAAAAAACTCTTCGTAACGAGCGAGTAAGTCAGATAGTAGTATTAAAGAACAGATTTTTTTCGAACTACTTTATGTTAGTTGCATTTATTTCACCAGTTAAGTTCTCCAAAATTTTTTTTGCAGTGTGAAATTTTGTGGGAAGTTTGAAGTTTTACTACAAAAACAATTTCTATCAGTCGTCGCTTTTAAAATCACTTGAAATCAGACTTTTCTACCATAAACTGAAAAGCAAAAAGAGAGGAAATTCATTAAATGTATTCCACAGAAGGTCTCCTGAATACAGCAACAATCAGAGAGGTAAATTCGACTGAAATTGACTAGAATTTCACGGCGAGAGAAACACAGGATTACGTGCCATTACAGTGCCAAGCTACAAACAACCAAGCAAACTCTCAATACTTCAAAATACTCAATTAAATTTACTTACAGTGACAGAGATAAACTTGTGTTGACTAATCGTGGATGGATGTGTAAAGAAGGCAAAAGATTGACGATTACCGCTAACTTTTGTGGGCCGTATCGTAAAAAGCTGGACCAGTCACGTGCGTGTGATTAGCCAATCAAATTCAAGGATTTAGGATTCCAGCTCGCTCAGATGCTTGAGAAAAAAATAATAAAAAATATTTTTCTTAGGACAGGGACAAGGACCTGCACGCCAGGCAGCAATGAATGCTGGTATCCCATCCTCAGTTCCAGCTTATGGTGTTAACATGCTGTGCGGCTCTGGGTTAAAGGCTGTCGCATTAGGCTACCAAGCTGTTTTGAATGACGAGTCAGCTACCATTGTTGCAGGCGGTCAAGAAAGTATGAGTCAAGTAAGTGCTAGTCTCCTACACAGTCATTGTTTGAGTCATCACCCAGCACTCTAGTCCACTAGTGGAAAGGAGCATGTTTGTATGAAAACTCCCTTTGGAGCTGGTTTGTGATTAAGTAATGAATCCTGAGGTAGAAATTCCAATTGCCCCACTGAGACTAATTATAACTACATTATAATTTAGTGCATATTTGTTGTTTCTTATAGGCCCCACATTGTTGTAACATGAGGTCTCCACTGAAGATGGGTGATGCTAAACTTGTGGATTCTATGATGTTAGATGGGCTCATCGATGCCTTTCATGGCTACCACATGGGAATAACAGGCAAGGGCATGAATTATATTTTCTTCCTTGTTGGTTAAGATTACTGATTTCCTATAGTATTATGCATACATTATGCAAGCAGTTTCCACAAATTTCACTTTTGTTCAGTTCTTGCGTTTTTTCCATCAAAATTGCTGCAGTTATTTGTACAACAAAGTGAACAAAAGTATTGTATGTTGTGGTACATTTTGTACATTTTCAAATGGTACAATTTTTTACCTACTTTTTGCTGCAAAAATCAACAAAGGTATTTCATAAACAAAAAAGCTGAATATATATTTTTTAAATTTTATTACTGACAGTAACTTTTATTTTGCAGCCGAGAATGTTGCAAAACAATGGCAAGTAAGCAGGGATGACCAAGATCAGTTTGCAGTTGTGTCTCAAAACAAAGTGGAGAAGGCACAGAAAGAAGGTTATTTTAAAGAAGAGATTGTCACTGTTCCTGTTAAAACACGAAAAGGTAAATTGATGTGGCATTCAAAATGTGACAACCAATATTTGTTATAAGGAATGACTGGTCTGTTTGGAATAATATTCAAATTGGGTGTCAACCCAGGCTTTTACTATATCAAAAATAATGCCTGATTACAACCAATGCATTGTTAGATTTAAATATATACCTGTTGACATCAGCCAAGTGTGAAAATGGCCTTTACATAATGAAGAATACAAAAGCAAAAACCGACACAACGTAGGATGATTTTTTTGAAGGTGTACTATATTTCAGCTGGACAAACCAGCCTTCTTCAGGTACAATGACAATTTTACATTGGGACATGTTTTTATGTAGCCAATATTTATGTAATACCGGAAATACGTAAAAGTAATTAACAGTGTAAATTAAAGATAAGCATACAGTAAAATAAAATAACATGATAAAAGAACATAATAAAAGAAAACAAATGGAAACAATATGTTTCTTTGCAGATGTTCAGACCATGAGGATCAATTGTTCTGCCTTTTGAATTAAAAAATCTTCCCTGGAGAAAAGAAAAAAAGATTGTTTTTCCCCACTGAAAAGATTTTTTCAGTGGGGATTAATTGCATGTCATTAGCAGTGTGGTTAGGAGAGGACAGGAAATGTTCGGTGGCCCAATGTAAAATTTTCATTGTACCTGAAGATGGCTGGTTTGGTCAGCCAAAATATAGTACACCTTCAAAAAAAATCATACTACATTGTGTCGGTTTTTGCTTTTGTATTCTTCATTTTATATGTAAAGCTGATTAGATCACTATTGATCCAACGTATACCAGCAGGATCATCGTTCCAGTTGCTTGCTTAAACATTTTATAGTCCTTTACATAACCTAATACTTCATAAACTTACAGAGACAATAGATGTCACAGAAGATGAATTTCCAAGACATGGCACTTCCATGGCAGGTCTTGCTCGTCTCAAACCCTGTTTTCTACAGGATGGCACTGGCACAGTAACAGCAGGGAATGCTTCTGGGATTAATGATGGTTCTGCTGCAGTAGTGCTAATGTCTTATGCGGAGGCTACCAGGAGGGGTGTGGTCCCTTTGGCACGCATTGTCTCTTGGGGTCAGGCTGGTGTGGACCCAGCAGTGATGGGTACTGGACCTATCCCTGCAACCAGGAAAGCTGTGAGTATAGCCCTTTGGAGTATATTAAATACAATTACTCTGTTTTAAAGTTCACCAGTAACAATCAGTAGGGACCTTATGCAAAACACAACCGCAAGGACAATGGGACATCACCAAACAAAAGGTTTAATGCTTTGCACTTGCAATTTCATTCTTGGTACTTTTCTTTGCCATCCTGTGTTAATCAACAATGTGAAATGACCAATTTCCAAGTATTTTGACAATGGGATCCACTACGGCTAATTTTTTCATATTTCTATTTGGTACTCACTACGCATTCGTAGCATATTCAGCAGGGCCAAGTTTTAATACCAACAAACACACTGAATAGATCTATGTAAATGCAAAATTCCAAAGTAAAATATAAACACACTTTTTAATAGGTGTTGTCCTTGCCGTCGCCGTCATGTGCATAAGGTCCCTAGTGATAATTTGTGTACAAAATCGCAACATTTCAAAACAACTTTTTGTAAACCTCAAAACTTTATCATGAGTTTGAGATTAAGACTGTGTGACCAGGTACAAAATTGTAAATGAAGCACTATTCCAGAAGCGATTACTGTTTACCTGCAGAGGCTCGGAAATTTATATCCAACATTTACTGTCTTATAGTTCAAATCAGTGCAAACTTGGAAAGAATCTCAACTTATTATGATTATGTGTACTTGAATAAGTAGAAGGAATCTGAAAAGTTGAATTCTAAGGGCCTGTTTAAAATATTTTGGAAGTCTTAATGATAACTTGATCTTCAAACTTACTCAGAGGGACCTCAGGAGAATCTTGGAATGACAAGAGGTTAAATGTTTGTTTTTTCTTCTCATTTTCTTCAGCTCCAAAAAGCAGGATGGAAGATTGAAGATGTTGACTTGTTTGAACTAAACGAGGCATTTGCTGCCCAGTCATGTGCCGTTGTTAAAGATTTGGGACTTGACCCAGAAAAGGTAAAAATCATTTTGAAACTTTAGTAATATATTAATTAATTTGTTAATAAATAAATATGAATATATTTAATTAATATATTATCATAATCAAATTTGCAATTATTCAACGGAAGCCTTGTCATACCTGCAGCATACCCCCAGACCTCCTTAGAGGCTTGTCCATTTAGCACTCGAATCAGTTTCAGCTGTCTCCTGCATGAAACTAGCCCTCTACACCCTAAATTAATGAGAACCCTGTTACCCAAAGCATACCAGAAGGGTAAACTTAGGTGTAAATGCTAAGGAAAAATTATTCATTGATGATTAATTAACTGGTGAATTGTGCATTAATTAATATTTACATCTGTTAATTTTTTTTTTCCAAAGGTGAATGTCAGTGGAGGTGCTCTAGCTCTTGGACACCCGATAGGAGCATCAGGATGTAGAATTCTTGTTACTCTGTTGTATGGCTTAAAACGAACGGGAGCAAGACGAGGCGTGGCAGCTTTATGCATTGGTGGTGGAATGGGTATTGCTATGTGTGTGGAAAGGTTATGACAATAGGAAAGACTTAAGTGAGGAGCATTCACACCAAACATTTTTTAATACTAGGGATGGTGAGGACACTGGAGAAACACTACTTTTAAGTTGTATTTTCCAATGATTTCTTAGATTCTCTGTCTAGTGGGTTACAAATAAAATATTTTTTCTGCTTGTAAGCATCCAGGGCCAGTTTTGGCTAAGTACGATGGACAGAGCCTTGATGTTACAGGTGATCTTGCCTGTTCTCGTTATAGTTCAGGTCGAGTAGGTTTCAAAGATGACTAATGTGGCAATATTCAAACTAAGTCCAAATGATAAAAGTATTATGAGTGAGGGATTTGTTTTTTAAAAAATGTGCATTTTGAGGCAAACATGCTCTGCTCTCATGATGTCAATTAATTAATCTTAAAAGTTTGAAGAATTACTTGGGTATCCTGCCTGGGAATTTGGCAGTCAAGGCGAATGTAGCAAGTTAGTCATCTCTCAGCAAATTGGACCTACTTTGATATGTGTTAAACAGGGAGTCAAAACCATAAGATTCTAATAGCGGGTTTTAATTTATTACATCCATATGTATAAAATATTTATACTAATTAGTGGCATTTACAATGGCACCAGCTTGGGTTACAGAATTTGTACATGTGGTCTTACAACAGGTTTGAATGACTAAGTTTTCAAAGAATGCACGAAAAGAGAATAATATATTATTGTACTTAATTGAAGAGATGATATGTAATAAAGTTCACGTGAATAACAATAATTTTTCTTTCAGTCTAGTTCAATTCACTCTAGAAAATGGAATGATAAGTAATCACACCATGAAGAGGCTCTTGAGCTGCATATGATAACTGAAATGAACTTAGAACAGTCTTAAGATCACTCTGTGGACTTTACTTATCAATTTTTCTGCCCAATACCCCACTAGAGAGCTTGTTTACAGATGAAGCAGAAATAAGAGCTTCAAGCCAAAGGACATTTCACAACATTACATGCTTTTTTTAAGCTTGAATGAATCATGAATTTATATTATAATGATATTTTTAGAAATGCATGTGCATCTTGGTTTTACAAAATTGTATATTTTCTTTAAGACCAGTAAATATCAAAAATTGCATTTTTGTTGCTAACCCTTCTCAACTCTCAATCTTATCAGGACAATAGAGTATAATATTCTTTACTAATTAGTTAAGATTAGTCACTGACTGCAGTTCTTACAAAATATTTCACAAAATTCATAAAAAAGATTCGAAAACAGAATGGAAAATGGCAAAAGTAACCTATTGTACCTGACACAGACAGCTGTATCAAGAAAAGCCATCAGCATAGTAGCATCAATAGCAGTTTATGATAAATGTTATGGACAAGATATATTTTATTTTTTAACAAAAATTAACCGTGTATCCAGACAAAGTAAAAAGAAACTGAATTAACATCTTTTAACTTATTAATAGAAATACTACATGTATTAAAATCATGCTGAATCAATAAACTGCATAACTGACTTCTCATTGTCCAAGATTGAAGAATGTAATGGGCCATTTCCAAGTTGCATTTTGCCTCTGTGTCAAAATGAGTCATGGGAAACCATTCTTTGAGAACGTGCCCCCCGACAGGTTCATTTTCATGCAAATTGAACTCATTTTCGTGTGAAAGGTTTTGCACTAGGACTCGTTTTGAAACCGAGGCACAAAGTAACCCGAAAATTAAATGGCCGATTTTCGAACTCTGTTCAAAACGTATATCATATAAATCGTAAAAGCGCGTTTTTAAACTTTCTTTCACTTCGGTGTGTATATTATATATGAATGTTCGTTCCCGAGGTATTTACATTTACGGTGTTTCGTTTTTGATAATAAATACTATTGTTTACATTTCTTTGTACTTTCTTGTTCGCCACATTCATCATCATTCTCTTCATCGTCGTCATCCTCGCTCGTATCACTATCGTACTCATCTACGACTTGAATTGTCGCCTGAACAGGAAAGTTCCGCAATAGGGTTTCACCCGAGGCATACATGTAATCATACGCAGCTTTCGTCCAAAGTAACCTAGAAGGGAAATGATACTGTCAGGTACGCGTTAAAAAAGTTCAGTCACGGTATTTTGAGATAATTTGACGGTACAAAATTAAATTGAAGGAAACCTCAATATAACAGTTTCCTAAGGTAAAAAACACCAAAGAGATGATGTTAAACCATAAAGGAACAAGGATGGTTAAGAATGGAGAAGATTGATACGGATTGAAAACGACGAACTTGAAAAATTCAGGCTAAGCTTTTCAAGATTCGCAAACCTTGATGTAGCTTATTAAGTAAACGTAGCAAACAAGCTGCAATGATGGAAAAAAGTCCTTGGGACACTGATGTAACGCCATGAATTATCTGTGTTTTACAACCAAAACTTGAAAAAGCACTCCTTAACATGCATTGCTGTCCCCCCACCCCATCCCACTGAAAAAAATGGGGTGAAAACTTTAAGAAAAGAGTACAGCTCAAACATAGTTTCGCTGACTTGCTTTTCTAAAAGACTGTACAAAAGGAAGCTGTTTTCTCTGTTAAGGAAAAATATTGGTGAAACATTTACGTTGGGTGAAAACATTATTAAACTAGTTTGTTCGTTGTACCCATCCGACGAATTGACAGTGAAACATTGACTACTGAGGCAGCGTCCATATACGCCGGAGAAATTTGAAAACGCAGCTTCATTTCTACGATTAGGCGTACTGTCCACACTTATCCGTCACGAAAACAAAGCTTTCAGAAAAGGCTCCTCACACCGGAAGAATTTGAAAACACTGCTCATTGGCTTTTCGTTTTCTTGTGGACGGAAAACATTTTGAAAACGAAGCTTTTCGAAAACGATGGCGTCACGATAATCACGTGATTTCTCTGACCGAGTTTTCCTCAAACACAAATCCAAAATGACCGGTGATTGTCGCGCTTTTGAATTTCTCCGGCGTAGTGTGGGTGGAAAACACTTGATTCGTCTTCAGAGTGAAACCTCCGTTTTCACATTCTTCCGACAGAGTGTGGACGGGGCCAGAAACGCTATGTTGGAGGCCACCCTTCCACGCCAGTAGTTTGCTGAGTCGGGCAAGCTTCTTTCCGGCTGCCCAACAATAATCTTATACAGTTTTGACCATCTGTACATTGCATTAGCTACACTACAGTTCCATTGAAAGCTCTACAAAGAGTTTTATTCCATTTTCAAACAGGTTTATATTCGTGCAAAAAAATCGAAGGAGGTTTTCAGTCTTTTCACATCAGCGGATGAAAACTGTCGCCAATAAACGCTCCATGCAGTGAGGGGCTGTCTCAAACATTCCGAGCTCCCCCAATATGTCCGATCCTTCAATCCGATATATTTTTTTCTTACAACATACTTATATATCAGTCTTACTAAGTTCTAGGTTCCCTCGAAAAGCTTTTCAGTTTTTCCGATTGCCGGCAACCTCTTTAATTTCCCGCCAAAATTTGCTGTTTTCCTACAAGTGTTATTGGAGTCGTCGCCCGTTTCAATAACGACAGATAACGTCTCCAAGTTTTACTGATTCTTGTGTGCTGAAATTACCTGACTGGATGTTTAAATTGTGGTTGTTGCTGTATATTTCCTGTTGTATTCGGCTGTCCATAGGGCTGTTCAAAATAAAAGCAAAAAAATATATATATTGAACAAGCGACAGGACAACAGAATGTTATTTACTAGTAGATAATTTCCCAGTGTGAAATCAATTCCCGTCCGCGTCTTCATAAATTTTCAGTTCAGCAAAATTGTTTTTTGACTTATTTTAAAACGCGTTATAGTTCTAAGCACGGTGATGAGCTCAAACAGATGTATAGTTGTACCCCACTGCAGAATCAAACGCCTCTCCAGCGATTACGCGAGTTATGTTTGTTTTTAGCGAACTCGACCGCCACTATATAACTGCCGATATCCTGTACCCAAACGAGTTCAAGGAAAACTACTGAGTAACTGCCGTAGTTACTGTTAATGTCATCTCTTTTCTGAACAAAACATTGAAATGTTTCGATTCGTAATAATTAGTTGTGGTTAACACCCAAAATTCTCTGGGTTGACCTTTTTACTATCGTTGGTATTTTTAGGTACAGCCGGATGTTTTTATTTCTCTACATTTTTTCCCGATATATTTAGTCTCGGTTGCACGCGAAGTTATGAAAGTAGACGCAGTGTCAAATAAATTATTGATTATCAAGAACGAGTGCATGTATTCGAAGAGTGCTCCGTTCCTACAGTAATCAAGTTTGAGTAGTGTTTCGGCTTTAAGTGAAACACAGTTTTGTCTATCGCTCTCGTTATTCAGATTACTCTGGGTGTGAAACCCAACAGATTTCAAACCATTTCCGAGGTTGATTTACTAGGTTCGATTCTCGAAGGGTAGCAAAAAATGGGTTGAAAAGCGGGCCGTTCGAAAAATTGGGGGTAAAATTAGTGTTCGATTGAGGGATAGGAAACGACTTTTGCTTCGATTTATCAGGAGGTGTGAAAAATCGAGGATATGAGAAATTGGTATTTCACTAATCAACTGTATAAACAAAGTTTACTCGCCGCTTTCCGCAATAGCTTCGTTATCTCCAAGTTCAGTGGCCGCTTACATTGTTTTCATGAATAAAAAAATCTAGCGGGTCTATGTTTTAATTTGTTATCAGAATATTTCCAGAGCTGAATAATATAAAATTCAATTTTTAAGCACACCATCCAACTCCGTTTAGAACACTTTTTATCAATTCGAAGCGCTCCTAAATTGGTCAACATCTATATTTTCTCGCAGGCTATGTTTTTCGGCCGCTTTTTGGCCAGAAAATTACGACACCTTTAATATAACGTGAAAAAAGAAAACTTTTCTTGGAAAGTAATAAAATAAACTTTTCGCAATCCAACTAAGTTCAATAAAGGCAAAAACCAGAGACTGAATCAGGGGAAGCTCCGCTTAAATCCATTTTCTTCAAACTACTGAGTTAATAGCAGCAGGGAAAGCGGTTGTGGAACTCTTACTTGATGGACATCAAACAGACACCATCAATGTCGTAAATACTCTTTTTCTTTGGCCATCGTAGCTTGATAAGATAACATGCGTTTTATTGCCATGTTTATCACCGCAGTTTGCGTGTTATTTCTTATCAAGACACCATCAAGTTATGCTGGTACTTACCATATTTTTTAACAGACCCTTACCAGCCTAACCTGCTAAGAAACTCAAAGAAAAGATAGATGCTAACTGCTTCCAAACTTTGGATACGACTGGAGAAAACAAAATGATAAAAAATATATCGATAAATAAAATGCATCGCTGACATGTCCGTAGTTCGATGGAAAACGACTCAGTATTATTTCGAACCCGTTTATCGAAGCGCGACTCTTTTTTTGTCTCTTTTTTTGCCAAGCAAGTGTCAGAAATGATAAGAAATGTCTATTCAGTGGACCAGTTTCACGTTTAAGAACTGGAAAAGTGAGTATTTCGTTTCCATTTATGATCATTTTGTCCGGCCTGAGATTTTCTGATTCACGGCCGCCTCTGACAAGCACAATTCATTGAAAGACTTCATTTTCATTTTTTATTTGCATTGTTTTTTTCGTTGACCAAGAAGCGAAATTTTTCTGATGGAATAAGTGCGTTCTTCATTGGCCTGAGCTTTAAAATCAGAGCAATACAGAAAAATTAAGCCAAATTAAGAGAGAATAACAATGTTTTTTTTCTAAGAAAACTTTTATTTCGTTACCGTGGAAAACCATGAATAGTTATTGAAGGGCTGCTTTCCCTCACCGCCTCTTGTAAAATACGCAAGCTTGCCCAGAAAAAACAGTCATTGGAAAAAATCGAAGTAATTGCTGACGAAAAAGCGGTCAGAACTAACAGGGAACAAAGAGATGACGCGCGTGACATATTTTGGCGAAAAGTGCAACCTTCACTGGATATATTTAATTGACAATTTTTTTTTCTTTTATTGTGTAAAATTTACATGCTACGGCCACAACGAATTGTGTTGCGAAATACATCTCCAAGAATATAATTTTAAAGTTGTCGAAATGGAATAACTTACCGTGTATCGTGGTCGGCGTTTTCTCTGGCAGTCCTGGGGACTCTCTACCCAAGGGCGCCAAATTTTGCTGAAATGATCAAACACAGATGAGACAAGAAAATATGTCGTTTTTCACGAATTTAAGAGCCACAGATACGTTCAAATGCCCAGATTCATGGATTTGGCGGGTGTACGTGTACGAGTAATTGGTTTTTGTGTTTCGTCCATAATTCACCGGTAAAACATGGCCACTACATAAGAAACCCTTTGTAAGCCCAATTGATTCCGACCTAGAACATTTGCACACGAAAATCTCTTCATATAGCCCCTTCGTGCTTTCTTTTCAGTAAAACGTTTAACACGACATTGACTGTTGACAGAGGGCTTTGTGAAATTCCTTCTTTGCATTGCTCATCGTCAATTCAGCGCTCACGAAATATTCCTTAGCCGATTTGTTTTGAACACGGTGGCTTCCATAATACACAATTTACAAATCAGTTGCAACAAAGTACTTACTTCATCTTGTGGCTTCAGTATAAAAGATCCTTTTAGCTACAACAGGTCCTTCTTTTTAGCTTGCTCAGTTTTCCTGTCAATTCGAAGAGGAAAGGAGCGATGTTATTACAATTTCAAGAATTAATGAGCTAACCTTGAGTCACGAAATCATTCTATAACGACAAATATGTAGTCATGGGTTGTAAAACTACCTTACAATATGTTCGGTACACGATTAGGATTTCTGCCAAGCTCCTTTCAAATCGGCACACAGACGTTCTAGGCAGTTTCAAAACTTTGTCAAAATTGCACTGACTACTGAACAAGGCAAGAGCTGAGGTGTTAATGGCCAACGAAGTGCGTTTTTTCGAGTTATCTTATCATGTTGTACAAGAGTTTGCCCACGTAAACTTCCTACCATGAGTCACGTAAAGATCTTCTTGCCGCGTAAATCGTATTTGAGCTTTATCAAGAGGGAAGAGTTCAGGAACGTGTGAAATCTTTGGCAAAATGTCGTAGAAGCGCCAAAATATAGTCTGGACGTGCCTAGTGTGTCGTCCAGAGCCAGGAAATTTTCACACCTTAGGGCTGCACTCGGCCAATCACTCGAGCTCTCAAAGACAACTTATTGTTTTGACCGTCAAAGGGCTTCCACAACACCGTGTGCTTCGCACTGCTCGTGCCGTAAACTTGTAAACACAGAGTATGAATTCACACATTTAAAAAGCGAATTGGTACTTTTCAGGCGGCAAAACTAATGCAAATTTCGTTGCTGTGACATGTGTGCTGTCGGAGACGCAAAAAGAATGTAAATAAAAAGCGGAACACACGTTTTGCGAAGACACATGGTTTATTGGTCACGCAAAACAATTAAAATCTTGTTTCTTTGTTTCGCCCGACTCTATTTTAAAATGTAAATTCATCTGTATTCTGTATTTTGCAAAGCCTATTATCGGATCTTTTGCGGCCGGTTTTTGCCGTTAATCAGAACCCTTTTTAACGCTTGGCGGATATTTTTCGGGGGGCAAGGAGTAAAGCAAGATCTTTAGTAAACCTGACAAATTTTTTAATACCCTGTTAATTTGTCGTTTTATTCGTAGAAGTGTAAAATACTTCGCAAAATACTATCACCAAATTTCACGGGACGTATGAAAGATTTATTAGCCATGTTTCCACGCTACCCCCCGTCAGTGCAGCCCGGGCTGACCCTCTCGGGATAACAGACTTGAAACCCTCCGCCATGTTTTTGCNAGTGTTATTGGAGTCGTCGCCCGTTTCAATAACGACAGATAACGTCTCCAAGTTTTACTGATTCTTGTGTACTAAAATTACCTGACTGGATGTTTAAATTGTGGTTGTTGCTGTATATTTCCTGTTGTACTCGGCTGTCCATAGGGCTGTTCAAAATAAAAGAAAAAATATATATATTGAACAAGCGACAGTACAACAGAAGGCTATTTACTAGTAAATAATTTCTCAGTGTGAAATCAATTCCCGTCCGTGTCTTCATAAATTTTCAGTTCAGCAAAATTGTTTTTTGAGTTATTTTAAAACGCGTTATAGTTCTAAGCACGGTGATGAGCTCAAACAGATGTATAGTTGTACCGCACTGCAGAATCAAACGCCTCTCCAGCGATTACGCGAGTTATGTTTGTTTTTAGCGAACTCGACCGCCACTATATAACTGCCGATATCCTGTACCCAAACGAGTTCAAGGAAAACTACTGAGTAACTGCCGTAGTTACTGTTAATGTCATCTCTTTTCTGAACAAAACATTGAAATGTTTCGATTCGTAATAATTAGTTGTGGTTAACACCCAAAATTCTCTGGGTTGACCTTTTTACTATCGTTGGTATTTTTAGGTACAGCCGGATGTTTTTATTTCTCTACATTTTTTCCCGATATATTTAGTCTCGGTTGCACGCGAAGTTATGAAAGTAGACGCAGTGTCAAATAAATTATTGATTATCAAGAACGAGTGCATGTATTCGAAGAGTGCTCCGTTCCTACAGTAATCAAGTTTGAGTAGTGTTTCGGCTTTAAGTGAAACACAGTTTTGTCTATCGCTCTCGTTATTCAGATTACTCTGGGTGTGAAACCCAACAGATTTCAAACCATTTCCGAGGTTGATTTACTAGGTTCGATTCTCGAAGGGTAGCAAAAAATGGGTTGAAAAGCGGGCCGTTCGAAAAATTGGGGGTAAAATTAGTGTTCGATTGAGGGATAGGAAACGACTTTTGCTTCGATTTATCAGGAGGTGTGAAAAATCGAGGATATGAGAAATTGGTATTTCACTAATCAACTGTATAAACAAAGTTTACTCGCCGCTTTCCGCAATAGCTTCGTTATCTCCAAGTTCAGTGGCCGCTTACATTGTTTTCATGAATAAAAAAATCTAGCGGGTCTATGTTTTAATTTGTTATCAGAATATTTCCAGAGCTGAATAATATAAAATTCAATTTTTAAGCACACCATCCAACTCCGTTTAGAACACTTTTTATCAATTCGAAGCGCTCCTAAATTGGTCAACATCTATATTTTCTCGCAGGCTATGTTTTTCGGCCGCTTTTTGGCCAGAAAATTACGACACCTTTAATATAACGTGAAAAAAGAAAACTTTTCTTGGAAAGTAATAAAATAAACTTTTCGCAATCCAACTAAGTTCAATAAAGGCAAAAACCAGAGACTGAATCAGGGGAAGCTCCGCTTAAATCCATTTTCTTCAAACTACTGAGTTAATAGCAGCAGGGAAAGCGGTTGTGGAACTCTTACTTGATGGACATCAAACAGACACCATCAATGTCGTAAATACTCTTTTTCTTTGGCCATCGTAGCTTGATAAGATAACATGCGTTTTATTGCCATGTTTATCACCGCAGTTTGCGTGTTATTTCTTATCAAGACACCATCAAGTTATGCTGGTACTTACCATATTTTTTAACAGACCCTTACCAGCCTAACCTGCTAAGAAACTCAAAGAAAAGATAGATGCTAACTGCTTCCAAACTTTGGATACGACTGGAGAAAACAAAATGATAAAAAATATATCGATAAATAAAATGCATCGCTGACATGTCCGTAGTTCGATGGAAAACGACTCAGTATTATTTCGAACCCGTTTATCGAAGCGCGACTCTTTTTTTGTCTCTTTTTTTGCCAAGCAAGTGTCAGAAATGATAAGAAATGTCTATTCAGTGGACCAGTTTCACGTTTAAGAACTGGAAAAGTGAGTATTTCGTTTCCATTTATGATCATTTTGTCCGGCCTGAGATTTTCTGATTCACGGCCGCCTCTGACAAGCACAATTCATTGAAAGACTTCATTTTCATTTTTTATTTGCATTGTTTTTTTCGTTGACCAAGAAGCGAAATTTTTCTGATGGAATAAGTGCGTTCTTCATTGGCCTGAGCTTTAAAATCAGAGCAATACAGAAAAATTAAGCCAAATTAAGAGAGAATAACAATGTTTTTTTTCTAAGAAAACTTTTATTTCGTTACCGTGGAAAACCATGAATAGTTATTGAAGGGCTGCTTTCCCTCACCGCCTCTTGTAAAATACGCAAGCTTGCCCAGAAAAAACAGTCATTGGAAAAAATCGAAGTAATTGCTGACGAAAAAGCGGTCAGAACTAACAGGGAACAAAGAGATGACGCGCGTGACATATTTTGGCGAAAAGTGCAACCTTCACTGGATATATTTAATTGACAATTTTTTTTTCTTTTATTGTGTAAAATTTACATGCTACGGCCACAACGAATTGTGTTGCGAAATACATCTCCAAGAATATAATTTTAAAGTTGTCGAAATGGAATAACTTACCGTGTATCGTGGTCGGCGTTTTCTCTGGCAGTCCTGGGGACTCTCTACCCAAGGGCGCCAAATTTTGCTGAAATGATCAAACACAGATGAGACAAGAAAATATGTCGTTTTTCACGAATTTAAGAGCCACAGATACGTTCAAATGCCCAGATTCATGGATTTGGCGGGTGTACGTGTACGAGTAATTGGTTTTTGTGTTTCGTCCATAATTCACCGGTAAAACATGGCCACTACATAAGAAACCCTTTGTAAGCCCAATTGATTCCGACCTAGAACATTTGCACACGAAAATCTCTTCATATAGCCCCTTCGTGCTTTCTTTTCAGTAAAACGTTTAACACGACATTGACTGTTGACAGAGGGCTTTGTGAAATTCCTTCTTTGCATTGCTCATCGTCAATTCAGCGCTCACGAAATATTCCTTAGCCGATTTGTTTTGAACACGGTGGCTTCCATAATACACAATTTACAAATCAGTTGCAACAAAGTACTTACTTCATCTTGTGGCTTCAGTATAAAAGATCCTTTTAGCTACAACAGGTCCTTCTTTTTAGCTTGCTCAGTTTTCCTGTCAATTCGAAGAGGAAAGGAGCGATGTTATTACAATTTCAAGAATTAATGAGCTAACCTTGAGTCACGAAATCATTCTATAACGACAAATATGTAGTCATGGGTTGTAAAACTACCTTACAATATGTTCGGTACACGATTAGGATTTCTGCCAAGCTCCTTTCAAATCGGCACACAGACGTTCTAGGCAGTTTCAAAACTTTGTCAAAATTGCACTGACTACTGAACAAGGCAAGAGCTGAGGTGTTAATGGCCAACGAAGTGCGTTTTTTCGAGTTATCTTATCATGTTGTACAAGAGTTTGCCCACGTAAACTTCCTACCATGAGTCACGTAAAGATCTTCTTGCCGCGTAAATCGTATTTGAGCTTTATCAAGAGGGAAGAGTTCAGGAACGTGTGAAATCTTTGGCAAAATGTCGTAGAAGCGCCAAAATATAGTCTGGACGTGCCTAGTGTGTCGTCCAGAGCCAGGAAATTTTCACACCTTAGGGCTGCACTCGGCCAATCACTCGAGCTCTCAAAGACAACTTATTGTTTTGACCGTCAAAGGGCTTCCACAACACCGTGTGCTTCGCACTGCTCGTGCCGTAAACTTGTAAACACAGAGTATGAATTCACACATTTAAAAAGCGAATTGGTACTTTTCAGGCGGCAAAACTAATGCAAATTTCGTTGCTGTGACATGTGTGCTGTCGGAGACGCAAAAAGAATGTAAATAAAAAGCGGAACACACGTTTTGCGAAGACACATGGTTTATTGGTCACGCAAAACAATTAAAATCTTGTTTCTTTGTTTCGCCCGACTCTATTTTAAAATGTAAATTCATCTGTATTCTGTATTTTGCAAAGCCTATTATCGGATCTTTTGCGGCCGGTTTTTGCCGTTAATCAGAACCCTTTTTAACGCTTGGCGGATATTTTTCGGGGGGCAAGGAGTAAAGCAAGATCTTTAGTAAACCTGACAAATTTTTTAATACCCTGTTAATTTGTCGTTTTATTCGTAGAAGTGTAAAATACTTCGCAAAATACTATCACCAAATTTCACGGGACGTATGAAAGATTTATTAGCCATGTTTCCACGCTACCCCCCGTCAGTGCAGCCCGGGCTGACCCTCTCGGGATAACAGACTTGAAACCCTCCGCCATGTTTTTGCGTCTTGGAGGAATCGAAGGTCTTCTGCTTGTTCAGTTATGGTAAGAAGTGAGATGTGTATTGTTTTCAGATTAGCCAAAGGTGTTAGAACTCCAAGGTATTAAAAACAGTACTTTTCCCTTCGTTTAGCAAATGTTTTTGCGGATTTACATAAGATCGAAGAGAGCTTTCGCTAAGATCCGCGTCAAAACTACACTTTTGTTCGATGAAACCTCAACAAATTCAATCTACTGCCCATGAAAAGAGAAATTCAATGCGTTTACAGGCCGCTAATGCTACAAGTTAATGGACTATTTGAACAATAGAGCGAAACAGGTGATTCTAGCGGGATCTTTTTCTGATAATGGTTTTAAACAATTCTTCCTGGCGGGACCTTTGTGATGAGATGGAACCGAGGTTATCAAAGTACTTCTTTTCCTGTACAAAAGCTCTTGCCACTGAAATGACTTGGAAAGGACTTGGAAATTGTCATTGGTTTTAATTAAAAATATTGAATAGGTTAGTTCAGCTGGAAATGGTGGTCTATTCTTAAAATGTGGTGGGCAGGACAGTCTGTCAACATGACAATTTTACAGCTAGTGTTTCAATCAATCAATCAGTGTTTCTTTATAATATAAGAACTAATGAAAATGCATGGTTTACGAATCAAAAGGTTGTTCGGTGTGGAAAATAATGATGAAAGTTGTAGTCCATTTGTGGATTTTTGCAATGGCCTCCCCAGGACAGAATCAACTGGTCATTACAGGGAAGTGGCTACACTGCCAAAGCAATAAATTAACTAAAAGTGTATGGATTCATGTGTGATCATGTAAAAAATTCCTAGCTTTTGTATGTGTTTTTTTCTTTAGATCTCCCTATGTCAACATTACTTTTCACCCTAAGGCAATCCGGGCAGTTTCCAGCAATATTTCTTTAGATAGTGAGTTTTCATGACAACTAATGGATCTATTAAGTATACCATTTTTCAATATATTAACCTATTTTAAAGGCCCATTTCTTCAATGGACCTTAATGTATAGTCTATTTTCTGGTTCTAAGACATTGTGCTATAAATGTGTAAAACTTTGGTGAATCAACATGTCTCTTCAGGATATATAGCTTGAAATCTTCCATAGTAAATAGTTATTCATTAAACAGGAAGCAAGAAATCTCATCTTGCGGTTTACTGCCTGTCATTTTTGGCCTCATAACACTTGATTTCACTATCAACCAAGAAACAACTTTTCTTTTGTACATGTAAATTATCTCCAAATCTAATGCATTATAATTATGTGGTATTTTAAAAGGGTACATTAGCTTTGTAGTTTTCTATTGGAAGTTTCTAACAAGGGGCTTTACCATCTTAATTCCTAAAAGCTGACTTCCATTTATGTAACATCTCATTAAATGTGTTATTTCTAATGAGGTTCTGAATGTTTGGTATTTTTTTCTTATGGCTGACGTTTTAAATCTGTTTTTTGTGTCTTATTCTGATGTACCATTATTTAATTCAGGTCAACTGTCTTCCAAATCAGCTAAATATAATTTTTTAGAATTCTAGAATACATGCTATTTTTACAACATTTTGCAGCAAATAAAACTATCTACCGGTAACTTTTTTTTCCCATGAACTTTTTTAATGTTATAATTTTCACTGGTTTGTGATCTATAAGTGAAGATTGAAATATTTTTTTCTTTCAGTTGCATTCTGCTTCATTTAAAATTATGCCAGCATTTTTCAAGTAATTTATACTTGTTTTGAACTGGCATGGACTCTATGATCCTCAAGACTGAACAAAGTGTAACAATACAAAATATGCATTAACTTCATCCTGAAGAAGCATACCCCAGGACCATTACCAGAATGATATCTCATAATGACTTATTTCCGCATTGTTACTTCTGGACATTAGTGATCTCTTAAGTACAACCTAGAATGTGAGGTCAGTTGAAAAGTGAATAATCGTGCCTTTGAAACAGTCATTCAATTTAAAAGATAATAAATTCTCAACCCTTAAACTATCCCAGGTGTAAAATGATTTCTTTTGTTGTGAAATCAGCAATTTTCATATGCTTTTGTGCACAGCAGTGGGGTGTCGTAAGACTTTTCCCTTTTCTATGGGGAAACACCTAAGTAACATATTTGTATGAAGTATGGTACCCATTTGTAAAAGTTGGTGGAGAGAGGCACTGTGAGAGGAGAGTATCTTTCCCAAGGACACATCACAATGTCCCAGCCAGGTCTTAAACCTGGACTACTTAATCTGGAGTTGAGCGCACTAACCATGAGGTCACTGCAAAAAGAAAAACCTGTGTTTCAGCATCGGCAACTAATTTGATAATGTTGACATATGAGAACCTACATCATATAGGATTGTTATTTTGAGAAATTATGATCACATTTCTGTTGTCTTTATTTTAGGGGGCAGGAGCTTCAGTTGCAAATGAGGATGAAATAAGAGAGTCGGAATCTAATTCAAACTGTATGTACTTGTGACTAATTCTAGGCTTTAAACAGTGTACTAGCTAATATGCAGCCAGCTAATATGCAGAATAAATTAATACCTTTTTTGATTGACTTACTAAAGGATTGTGTAAATGTTAAAAATAATAATAAAAATGAATTTAAGACTTAATGTTCAAGAAACTGCACTCACTATGATTTATTACTCAGAGTTCATTACATCTCCATAAAGCACATAGCCTATATACCTGTACATCTTGTACAAACTACATGGAAGAGCAATGTATTCCACCCAAGTTTGTGTACATAAGATTTCTTGATTATTTTATACACTAAGTTGTCTAATTATATGCTTCTTGTACATTATTGATTTATATAAATAGAGTACTAGGGAACTTTTAAGAACACTCAAGAAGCGCAAAATTTTAAGTACTTGGCTATTCCTCAAGTAATTTGAGCTTGAGCATGGGAAAGGTGCCTAAAGGGATGGTGGAGCCAGGTGAGATAGAAGTGTCGAGCAGAGCATGCAGATATCCATGGCAAACCTGAATGTGGCAACAAGCTGCTTAGAGGGACAAAGGGCCCACAAACAGGGGAGGGGTGCAGTAGATCGCCAGCAACTCCCAACATTCCCAAGCACCTTCCAGCTCAACCAAAGGAGCCTGCACACCACAGATGACAGACAAACACATTTAAAAAGGAAAGCCTGTTACTTAACCAACTGTCTCATAAGCCCAGTGGTACTTAACTCCCGTTTCTATGGAAAGACATAATGGTCCAGTACAATTTACACCATTCCGAATTGTATATTTCCCTCAATGGAAAGTGGCCTCATCAGAGTACAGTGCCTCACCCAGGCTAAGAACATAATGCAGTGACCCCTTCAGAACTCAAATTTAGATTGGGGTCAGCACACTCTAATCATTAGGCCACACACCTCACCCAAACTTACTTACTGACAGAAGGGGGACATCGGGGGGTTTTGAATGCTGCAATACCACAAAAAAAAATCGGCAAATACTGCAATATCGCAAAAAAAAAAAAAAAAAAAAAA